TCACCATCCTGGTGTTGTTCATATTAAGTTGGGGAGCTGTCCTAAACTTTCAGCAAATCCTAACTCCAACATGCATGCTAGCTACAGCAAGTGAGCCAACTTCTGAGAGGCATAGTATACATTCACCAGTAATAGGTCCAATGAAGGCAACTAAAAACTCCAGATGGGAACATCTCCCAACTCACTGGTCAAATATCGGAGCAGGTATCCTCCCACCATGAGCTAGCTGGAACTGGACAAAGTAAGTTTGTAGTGCCTATACTCAAACAGCTAAAATAAGTGAGATTCTGTAAAGGGAGAATTTGAAGAGTCATAAGAGAATGGCTATTAAAAGCTCCATTCCGACCCTCTCTAAACTATCGCCATTTAAGTGGAGAAGCAAATTAGCCTCAATAGGCATTTCTATCTAGAAGGGGGCAGGGAGAGAAGAGCCACATTGGAACACTTAAGGTCTCCAATATGCCCATCCATAAATCATCTCAGGACAAAGCTGTCACTCTGTATCTTCTACTTTGCCTTTTAAATGGATGGGACCCCAACATCCCTCTCTCCTCACAGTGGTGAGGATGGGTATGAGAGGCATGGAGAACAAAGAATGGCAAGTTCCTTTTCTCTTACTGATGACAGGTGTAGTAGCAATATCTGCATTGAGATTGTTGCTTACTTTAAAATACCGAATCGCAAACATGTAGACTGAATGATTATGTGTGAGAGTCCCAAAACCCACATGAAGATGTGTCTATTAAAAGAACATAAAAACGAATCTATTACAGAAAGGCAAGTGTATGATTGATGGCATTCACATGTGCTCTCATTTTTAAAGCCACATGTATTTAGTTGACTGCATCTTTATAAAGAAAATCTTCAGAATCAGGGCAGTTCCGATTTTTTTTCTAGCAAGACACTGTTTCAAATAAAGAAATTGATTTACAGTAACTGATGAACACACAAATCACATAGAAAAAAAAAAAAAGCCAGCTATTTTATTCTTTCAACGTGGTTGCCAAGGCTCCTTTGTGTCTACAAATTTCTCCGGGGTGGTGCTGTTGCCAAGAAATCCTAATTCATGATAAGGTTTTCTGCAAATTGGGACAGTGGCAAACCTGCGGATGGACAGATCCTGCAGTTTGCTTTGTCTTGCTGTTTGAGATAGCACCTGGCTGCCCAGGCCTGTGGGAGGCAATGCAAAGGCAAGATCACACAGAGGCAATGTGGCTCACGGACCAAATCCCAGCTCCGGTACCATGAAGCTGTTCTTGGAAGGCAACCATTTCTGTAGGTTTTCCCCTAGAGATGCCTCATACCAAAAGCCCTCATAAAAAGTGTTTTAGGACGCCTGAAACCAAGATGAAACTGCAGAGTTATGGGGACACTTTAGTCCTTACAGAAGCCAAGTATGCCATTAGTTTAAAACAATGGGGGAATGGAGGAGGAGGGAAGGATGTTCTATGATTTATTTATTTGTTTCCAGTAGCAGTGGAAAATTTTCTCCAAGCAAAAGGGAGGCCTGAAATTGACCCCATTTGCCATTTATGAATCAGCATTAACAATGAGCATAATTCCATAAGAGTTTTCAAGTAAGCATGCCATGTTTCCCAATGACATGTAGCAAAGTTAAGTGCAAATGATACTCATTGTCATTACGTGGATGGGGACTGTCCTTATGAAACAGCATGCCTGGAATAAAGAATCTATAAAAATTCTGAATCTCCGTAGACTCTGAAAGAAAATGAAGGTGCTCTATGAAACACTTCCTATTTTCTGAGTCAGCAATCAGCTAAGAGTCCGACTTCTCTTGTGACTTCATGAATGTATCTCCCTTTACCATCAAATGGTTTTCTAAAATCTACTCTAGCATCTGTCCTGCCCTTGACTGTTTTCAACTTTTGTTCAAACAGCTTCTGAAATATTTCCTGCAAGTTTTCACAGAGCTTGAGGCTGGCAGGCTTCAGAGTTCTGTCAGCTGACTCCAATAAAATAATGGACCACATAAGCCCATAAGCATGGTGTGATTTACAGTTAGAGGATGGGCAGAAGTGATCTTACCAGGGCCAAGTGCTTAAGCACAGTTAGGGTTCAGAGACATAGAGCTGCTGATTCGGGAAGTCTGTTTGGGTTTTTAATTACACCAACAATTCTGGGAGTCGGAACTCTGGTTGAATATCGCTGCCTAAGAATCCATGTCAAAGTGACAGGAAGTAGTCCTGTCACAATCAGTGTCTTTGTCACAGGCTCACTGACACAGGAAACAATCCAGTAGCCTGAGTTTGAAGCAAAGTCGACAAATAGCCCCTCCTCAATTTTCCAATGCACAGATACTCTTGGATTTATCAACCAAAACCATTCTCTAGAAACCAAATTAGATTATCAGGATCCCCCCCACCCCCACTCTAGATGTCCCTGAGGCCAGGTATATTGCTCACTTTAAGAAAAACATCTAATAAAGATTCCTCACTTGACCTCTAAAATCTGGTTACCCCAGAGCATCATGGGGAAGCCTCCTCCTGTCTGGGGTTTCTGTAGCAACCTTCTTGAGCTGTTTTAAGCAAAGGAGTCTCAACATTTCACCATCTGGTTAATTGTGAACTAATAGTTGCATAAAACCACCACTACCCCTTAGACTCAGAAGCAAGGGGCTATGGACACAGGCCAGGAGGAAGCGATAAAGGCTAAAGGTTTTGTCATCAGCATGAACTCAGGTCCTGGTTACCTTTATACAGAGCAGCTGTGTACAGAGTCCCGAGCAGAGAGAGCCACAAGTTATGTTTCCATGTGGACTTGGAAGAGGTTTTTAAGATGAGAGAAGATGGCAGTTGGAGACAGTTGAGGCAAGAAATAAGAAAGAGGATGGAAGTGAGAATTCCTTTGCCTGGTGATTAAAAGGAAAAAAAAAAAAAAAAAAAAACAAGCTAGAGGTTTCTAGAAGGGGAGGGGGAGGGAGGTGGGAGAGGGAGGAGAAGGGGAAGAGGAAGAGCAGAGCTGGCTTCTGAGGAAACAATAGATCTAATACATCCCCTAATTGTCAAGCCAATGATGTTTCCTTGAAGCTGTACCTTCTGGATTCTCTAGGCAGATCTAGAAAAGCAGGTTTCTTCTAAACAGACCACCTCTACCCCACAAGCAGGCTTTACTACCTTAAAAACTTGAACCAAAACAAAGTTGTGTGATTCATCAGGAGGGAACGTTGTAACAAATAAAGCCAACTTTCTTCCCTCCAACACTGCTTAACAGTTAGTCACAAACAAGGGCTGCCTGGGGCAGGCTGACTAAATCAACAGATTCCCTTCCCTAACCAGTCTAGACGGTTGTTAATATGCAACTGATTCCACACCAATGGGCTGACAGTGTGAAAAGAAGGCTGTTTACAAAATGATATTCTGGCAACATTTTAGCTTACTTTATATGCAAAATATAAAGGTAGAAAGGGATGTAGAGAGAGCCTTCATAAGACCTAGTCTTGCTAAGGAGAGGGAAGATACGTTAAAGAAATATGTGCACTGTGGCTGTGTGTTTACCAAAGGACAGCATCCGCAACCTTCTTCCAGTCTTCCGACTGGAATGCATGCTTCCACACAGACACACAGACATAGGCAGCCAATACCTGGAGGAAAACTCGCAGCTTCTAGCCAAGGGAAGCAACTACTAACAATGGCATGGTCTGAAGAGCAAGCACGTTGCTACTGGCTCCGGATACCATGAGCTAAACATCTCTTCCTAAAGCAGCAACTGTTACATCCCAGCCTCAAGCTGGCAGATCCTGCTTTGGATCCTGGCAGAGGAAACTCAGCCGTTCATTAGCCTTAACAAGCTGCTGTCACTGAGCAGAGAAGTTACATGAGCAGCCACACACCAAGGATCCCACAGCTCTCCCCAAGGGCAAGTGGTTTTTTCTCCTGGATGGACTGTACAAGTTCACACTCAAGCGTTCAAATCCGAACCGTCTTCCTGGACTTTCCACAGTGCTCACTGTAGAGTTTTTAAACACCCATGGTGTCCCCTCTCCCTACTCGCCCTGCCCCCATCTACCACCATCTTTCCTGCAGAATGTCCCCTCAGCAGCTCCTAATCGCTGCTGGGAAAACCACTGTTTCCGCAGCAGATCCAGCACTTTCCACTGACCAGCACTTTCTTTATTTCACTTCACAAAGCCCAGTGAACTTGTCTCCAGTCAGGCTTCAATCTCCCTTCCATGCCAAGCCAACTTGGCACCAGTTCCCTTCAGCATCCTCGGAGTTTCTTAACTAGTCCTCTAAGACAAAGTCAAAAGTAGGGAGCACACACCACCCTTTGTCCAAGGTAGCGCTAACCTGAGAGGCACCTCAAACAAAAAAGAAAAACAAGGGCACAGTATTGGCTGATCTTTCTGGAGGCATTAGCTGGGGAAACCTACAATGCATTGTCAGTCTAAGACAGATACATCTTCCCATCTTCCTTGTATATGTCCTTAAGCATCTTTTGTCACCTGGCTTCTCTTCCTACAGCTCAGCTTCTAATCTAAAAATCAAGTTCTTTATTGACACTTGCTAAATAACTGGGGGAAACACTCCGTGCACCCCCCCCCAAGAGGGTCCTCAGCACCAGTTGAAATAGATGAACCTGATTTAAGTACCAAGAAGGTCAGAACTCCTAAATTTAGGGACGTGGTATCCTGTCAGCCATTGCTCAACCGCCTTTTCACCCGGCTCCTCCAAACCCCAGAAGTTCGCCAGCAGGTCTCTGCTGGGGGACAGTGAGCTCGACAACGTGTGCGCAAGGATGTGTGTTGGTGACAGAAACGCAGGCAGCTAGGACCGGCTCGGCTCAGCACACTAAGGGGTTAGGGGTGGGTGGAGAGGTAAGCGCATATGATTGTTTCAGAAAATATTTTAAACAACACAGAGACGAAAATAAATTAAGAAAATAAGAAAAAATTTAAAAATTCAACTCAAAGCCCACACCAACGCAGCCCCTGCGTCTCCGCCGCCGCAACACGATTTACACAAGTAATTTAAATCATTCACCTGCTGCCAGGTCTCCTCCAGGGATGGCAAAGCTGAGAAGTAGCCGGTGTCGTGGACAAGTTGTAGCTCCTGGAATATACTATAACTAGCCAACACGTCCATGCTGCTGCTGCCGGGCAAAACCGGAGGAGAAACCCTCCCCCGAGCTCAGCTGGGTCTGTTTGTTTGTCAGTCTGTCTGGCTCACCCCCCAAGAAGGCAGACATCCAGTGGCCCTTTTGTTTTGTTTTGTTTCAGTCAACTAAAAAAAAGGAGAGAGAGAGAGAGGGAAAAAAAAATCAATGCAGGAGAGAGGGAGAGAGGAGGTGAGAGAGGAGCGAGTGAGTGGGGTGGATGGAGAGAGGGATGAGAGGGATCCAGCGTGTACAGTGCAGATGACTGCCAGGAAAAGGGGACTTCACGGGAGTAACAATTCCCTTCCAGGGCTCTAATCACTCCAGCTCGTGGATCAGGAAGGGGAACGCAAACTCACTGACACGAAGCTGCCATCTATATCTGCAGCGCTGTTCGCTCCTAATGCAATCTTTGCTCTTTATTTTGGGAGGTTGCATTTTTTTCTCGCGATCGCTTCTCTCCCCCCCACCCTTTCCCTTCCCTCCCCACCCCCACCCCATCCTCGCTAGTTTGTAGTCCCCCCTCCTCCTCTTGTCTCCACCTCCTGCTCTTCCCCCTCCCCAAACTCCCTCCCTCCTCTCGGCTCTGCGCGCAGCCGTGGGATCTCGGAGGAGGGTGTCTATTAGGCCGCGTGTGACCATGTAAGGTAAACAGGGGGCTCATGAAGTCACTGAGGACCAATGCGGCACTCGGAGCGGGTCCTGGGGCGGGGCCTGGCCCCGACGGCGGCCTCTGATTGGCGCACTGCGGATCTCCCTGCTGCCTTACAAGGCGGTGCGAGGCAAGCTATTTTTAGAGGGCTATATAAGGGGGCTGAGGCGGCCGGGGAGCTCGAGCTCGCCGGGGAGGGCTGCTGCGACAGTAGCGCTGGTTCCCGGGACGCCGGGGCGACCGGGCTCGCTTGCGCGCTGGCCTCCGACCCTCGCTGCTGGGCTCTCCGGAGCCGCTGGTGCCCGGACCCCGTGCGGATCCGAGAAACGGGTCGCCGCGGCAGCTGATCGGGAGGTGCGATCCCCGGTGCTGGGTTGGGATGCCTCCTGCGGGAGCAGCCGGTTGAGCGGCGGCGCATCCGTCTGGGGCAAGTGGCTCTTAGCACTCGGCCTCCCCGCCAAGCATGGGAAAGGGCTGCGAGAGAGAGGCCAAGCTCAGGACGGGGTCACGTACCCAAAAGTAAACCCCAAAAGCCCCTTCCAAATTCCCCATAGAGTGCAGAAATGAAGCGCCAGAGGAGGAAGTGCTTCACAATGGCAGAGAACAAAGGCGAGCTGCACAGAAACGCGGCCTGCGCCCGCCCCCGACGCCGCACGCTGTCCCCGCCCCGGCCCGCGCGCCTCCGTGCGCGCCGCCGATCGCCTAAGGCCCTCTGGTCCACCGATCCGAACCCGAGACCTGGCTAGGGGACTAGTGTCCATCATCCTTGACTATGAAGGGAAGAGAATAGAGGGTACAGACTGGAAGGGACAGCTAGCTAGCCGATCCTTACACGAGGTTTATCCTGTAGCTTCCTGGGGTCATGCAGACAGCTGGAATGGTGCAGGGTTCCATAGATGTAGAGCTTCTGCAAACTCGGAGATGGAAACCTGCTCAGTGCACGTGGTTAAGAATTGCCCAGTTGCTTGACCTTAAATGGCGAGTGTGGTACAAGCTTCTCCAAAATACACCGAAAGCTGGACTACTTTCGGAATGACTGCAGAAACTTGCTTGTACCTTCAGTGGAGGAACATAATGTCACTGACTCCATACCTTTCCTGTCCTTTGATAACAATGTTCCCAATTCTCCAAAGGAAATTAAACAAATTACTAAGATTGAAGAAAAGCTGGTTTATTTACCCTTCAGTGCCAGGGATTGTTGGTCAAAGTAACAAAATTAATTGTATAATTGATGTCTTGCTTGTAAGAACGCTGCTACTGATTGGCTGCATGATTTGAGCAAATGGCAGTCAGGCTTCTGCCTACCCATCACGGGAACAAGAATGCAAATCTCTGCCTTTATTTGCCAAAAGAGACAAAATACTGTTTACAATTCACCTAGCATGGTAATGGCACTATTAGAAGTACTAAATGTTAGCTGTCACTGTCTCCAGACTTTAAGCAAGGAAGTTAAATAGTATCTGAACTACTAATAGCCTTCATAGGGAACAGACCAGAGTCTTGAAAAAGAAAGCAAGGTAGCAAGCCCTTTCATTAATTTCTTAGACCTCACCCTCTCCACTCTACCCCCATACTATCTGGTGACAGGGCTTGGGCAGAAATCCATTGAAAGAGCCTAGTGCAGAAGATGTATTCATGAGTAATAAAAGAAGAAAAAGAACTTGGATACAGGAGGCAACATCAAGGCAAGATCACATAATTTGCTGAAGGCTCAAGGGAATTTCAGTTTTGTATTTTTACTATTACTGCTTTTGTTTGGTTGGTTTGGTTTGAGACAGGGTTTCTCTGTGTAGTCCTGGCTGTCCTGGAGCTCACTTTATAGATCAAGCTGAACTTAAACTCACAGATCTGCCTGCCTCTGCCTCCTGAGTTTCCCACCACACCTGGCTTATTACATTTTTGAACAAAATATATGTTAACTTTTGAAGATTTTTGTGACTGGTTATCACACATTATGCATATGTAAAGAATGCCTCTTTTAACACTCAGGACAACCCCAATATAGGAATTCCCATTACTCTAACTTAACAGATGAAGATCTTCTGGCTTAGTATATAAATTGACCATGGTTAGATAGGCAGGAAGTGACCTGGCAGAGCTTCAAGTCCATGAGTGGCGGACTTAAAAGATTTCTGTATGAGGCTCCGCTTGGCAAAACATTGGGTTTCTTGGTTTTAAGTTAAGATATATTTATAAAAACTGCTCTAGCGGGTTGGAGAAGTGCCATTGAAGCTTTCTCCATGTAACTTGCAGGCACTGGACCTACAAAAAAAAAATGTTCAAAAAGTTTTACAAAGTAAATCTTATAAGTATAAGTAACATTTTGAGTTCTGCTTTCAAAATATAGGACATTCAAGAATTCATTCTAATGTAGTCTAAAAGGTATGCTTTCAACATTTATCATATTTAGATGCTTTAATTTGTTTTTGCTTTTTAATTAAATTTACTTCTCTTTCCTCCCTCCAACTCCTTCCATGCCCCCTGCTTCAAGTTCATGGCCTCTTTTTCTTGTTATTGTTGCACTTATATATGTATATATGTGTGTATGTGGTGTATTTTGATATGTATATATATCAAATATAACCTGCTCAGTCCATTTAGTATTGCTTGTACTTGATTTTAGGGCTGACCAGTTGGTATTAGCTAAGCATCAGGAAACTCGTGCCTGGAGAAAATGTTCTCCTCAGCATTCTTTAGTTGCCTGCATTTGCTGAGATTTCTGCCTTCACTGTTAGCATGTTTTTTGGTATTGTACTTGTTCTGAGGCCTCATTGGTGATGCTCCCTGTCATTTCTAGGAGACATAACTTCACAACAGATTTCCTGGTCCTCTGGCTTTTATATTCTTTCTACCTATTCTTCCTTGGTGTTTCCTGAACCTTGGGTGCAGGGGGTTTGTTGTAGATGTAGCAACTGTTCTTTGACAAGTAGTGGTTTTCTGTAATGGTATTGGTCTATTGTAAAGGGACATTCCTTTGATGAAGGGTGGGAGCTACATTCACCTGTGGGTGTAAGGACAAGTTGGCCTAATAAAGTAGCAGTAGTAGGTTCTCCTCTAAGACCCATGACCTCACTAGCCCTGGGTAGTTGGCTAGGTTTCCTTGAGTTCCCTCCTGCTGAGGGGCCTTAAGTCCCATTACAGAGCTGTTGGTTACCACCAAGAAATGACTGCCACTAGGGTTACCATGCCATGGTGATGGTTGTTGTAGTTTATAGGCATCCCAGGTAGGTAGGGTTCCTTGCCTCTCTTGAATACTTGCACGGTGTCTTCCAGTGATGTAAAAACTAGTCCTCAGAGAGGAATCTTTCAGATCAGGCCTAGCTGAGTCCTCTGAGTCCAACCTCTGCACATTTTCTGCGAATAGGGATCAGCCATCAACCTCTGGGAGGCAATCAAAGTCAATAGAAATAACCTACATTGTTTTGGGAGCCTCTTGGACTCCACTGCCCAACTACTCACAATGGGCTTTCTTGTATATTGGATTTTGTTAGGTATTTTTTAATATCCTAGAAATTATAGTTTCACATTGCAAAATCACATGTAAAGTATCCCAGTATACAAAATAATCAACAAATTAAGATCAAAAGGGAACAAAAATAACCTGCACTTTTCTGATTCCCATGTTGAATGCCTTTGCAGTATCTGACATCTGATGTCGTTCACATCTGGTCTTTACTAGTGCAGTGTTTGAAGATGATACTGAAGTTCAGAGAATGTGTGTATTTCATTCATTGTCCCATGTCTGTTATGTGCCAGAAACAAATTCAGATATAGATGCCCCTCCAAGTTGACTCCAAAATCTCTCTCCTATGTAAACATCGTCTTGGGGAACACTGATGATAGTATTTCCAATAATAATAGCAGTGTGTGGTGGTGCATACCTTTAATTTCAACATTTGGGAGGTGGAGGTAACTGAATCTCTGTGTTTCAGGCTACACAGTGAGACTCTGCCTTAAATAAACAAAATACTTTGGAAGTGATACTAGAGGGAATACCCAAAAGTAAATAATATTAACTCCATGAATTCAGAAATTAGAATATTTTAATAAATAATAAAAATTTAATATATGAAGCTTGGAGAGATGGCTCAGTGGTTAAGAGTGCTTGCTGCTCTTATAGAGGACCCAAGTTTGATTTCCAGCACCCACATGGTGGCTCAAAACCATCTGTAACTCCATTTCCAGGAAATCTGATGCCCCCTTCTGTCCCCTGCAGGCACCAGGAGTCAGAATGTATGTATGTATTATGTGCCTGGTGATATATATGTATGTGTACACACACACACACACACACACACATATATATATCATTTATACACATAAAGTAAATCTTAAAAACATTCACATCCCCAGTTGGTGGTACTGTTCTGGAGCCTTTAGAAGTTGAAGCCTGCCTGTCCAGAGTAGGTAGCAAGTTGTGGGATCTTTATAGATCTACCTGCCTGGGTCTGATCCTTCTCTATTTGCTTCATGGTCCATTAGATGTGACCTGCAGCCACAGACAGAGACCTCCCCATGCTTTCTCTGCTATGATGGACTTCACCCTTCCAACACCATAAGCCCATATGAGCCTTTCCTCCCTCAAGTTGTTAATGAGCCTTGGACCACACCACAATGACATGAAAGTAGCTGATACAGACATGTCACTCATAGGCATAACTAAGGCATACACTGCCACCAGGTAAGTTCGGCTTCATTAATATATGAATGCTTTGTCCTATCCTGTTGTGCTTAAGACTGGTAGGGCTTCCTCAAGAAAATCTACCTCAAACAGAAACTGAATATATATATATATATATATATATAT